TGTTTGTTTATGTAAATTAGATTTTCTTACGTCTCTCTCAGGGCAAAACTGGTCGCCGACGATTCGGAAAAACTGCCCGCGGACACGGGAAAGTTGAAAAAGCGTGGTATAAACTTCTCAAAGTGCACGCAAAATAAAGGACGTCAGACTTTCTCCATGAGAACGTCGTGACTTTTATGTGATTTTACCCAAGAAATGTTTAGTAACGTGCCTCTAGTGTATTTCTTGCGTTCAACGGTTCGACAGACTCGTTACTGACTCCGTTACAACCCCCCCCCCCCCTCGTTACAACTGACTCCGCTTAGTTTCCCTCCGTGTTTTAACTGCTTTGTGAAAACCATGTAATTGACTAACCATAAATTAAAAATATTATCAGGGTGTCCACCAGTCCGGAATGGAGATGTTGCATGTGTGAGGAATTTGCGATCTGACTGTTGATTGTTTTGTAAAAGAAACACGATGGTGCTACTGGTTTTTTCTGACATCAACTCCCAAGCTCAAAAAGAGCTCTCAAGTTGAGGCCAAAAATGGAGAGGATATCCCACGCTATCCTGAAATTCCACCTCTACATCAAAACGAACTCTCCATGCAAAGACAAAGAGCAAATACATTAGCAAGGTTGCCGTGTTTTCAGTTTTGGAGTCCCCAAATAAAGTGGCAGCCTTGTCAATGTATTTGCTCCCTATCTCTGCATGGAGAATTAGTCTTGATGTAGAGGTGGACTCTCAGGATAGCGTGGGATATCCCCTCCATTTTGGCCTCAACTTGAGAGCTTTTTTTGAGCTTGGGAGATGATTTCAGAGAAAACCAGTGGCACCATTATGTTTTTCGCGAACTTTTACAAAAGAATCGATGGTCAAACCGCAAATTCCTCACTCATGCAACATCTCTATTGCCGGAAAATCCGGAAATAGTACCGATTTTTTAAGGGGGATCCAGAAGTACTGAAAAAGTGCGGAAATTCCGCGAAGGGTCCGGAATTTTTTTCATTTTTTGGTAATTTTTGTTTCAATTTGAGCGAGAAATTCAAATTTTTGAAATTTTTCGAATTTTGTCAAATGGAGGAACTGAAAAAGTACTGAATTTTTCTATTGAGGAGGCACTGAATTTTTTGGGAATGTACTGAAAAAGTACTGTAAAAGCACTGATTTTTGGTCCACCTGTTTTAGTAGAAACCCTGATATAATTTAAAATTTAGGGGGGTTTCAAAAAGTTCCAAGGCGTTGTTCTGCAGTTTTCTGTAATTATATGTCGGAGCGGTCACGATAGAACTTTAGATTGCGTCCACCATTTTGGATTTTTGGATGTTGTAAATTTGACTGAAAGTTCGAGTTCCCTGTCCAGAAAGTCCCCCCTGACACCAACTTTTACTTTTAACGATTGAACAGGAGCCGAAATAGCATATTAGGTTACATCCGTAATCTTGGAATTTTGGATTATGAATTTAACTGAAAATTTGATTACTAAAAAAATGGAATGAAAGAGACTAATTTCAAGGGAAGTATGTAATATTTACATCAAAGAAAATTTACTAAATTTTCCAAAAATGATTAAGAGGCGCTAGATAATTGAGAGTAAAGCTTTTCGTATAATTCCATTTGTTTCGGGAAAAATCTGTATTTTATCAGAGGAAATTTGGCAACATCAAATTATACGTATGCGGTTTTTTCGCAGCATGGCTCCCTATAATGCAATGAAAAAAAGAGAGTCGAGAAAGTTCTATCGGTCGACTTTGTTAAAACAGCGAGTACACGTTCAGGATTGGAGCGCCTTCAATTCGAGTGATACTTCCAGCTTTGCCGGAGAGTTAGTTTAGTTGCGTGACCCAACTTAACCCAACCTGACTCTGTTGCGATCGGTTTGCCGAGCTTTGTGACCGATCTGCACCATAAAACTCGGGCATATTCAATCCTAGCTGAGACAAACCCGCTCCAACATTCCGAAATTACTCTTCATGCATTATTTTCGTAAACAGAAGCTCACCGAATTGTTTTTCTCAAAGTTCTCCGTGAATTTTTGTCTCTGTCTAGGTTTGATAGGTATATGATTCCTCGAATCCTGTCCGATTGAAGTTTGTGAAACTTGACATTGGGCGGTATTTCTAGACGAGGATTTCGAATTTTTAGGCATATTTTCATAATTTCAAAATCCAAGATGGCGGACGTGGCCTAAAATGCTATCCTAGCTCATATTCATTCCATTCAAGTGATCTCTTTGTCTTCGACGTATTCTTCTGAGTTTTTAGAAAAAGGTGTTATTTTTTCTTCTGTTTTTAAGAATAGTAACAAGTATCCATACCGACGGTGAAACTACCAGGCCGCGTATCTTGGTTTGCGACGTTGCAGACTTCCTGTCACACTTTATTTTTTAAATGGAAAACTATTCCACGTCACTTCTTGAAAACTTCCATGTTTTTTCTTCTCTGTGCGAAGAAAATCTCTATGGATATCTCAAGAAATGATGTCGATTTGTTCTCTTTGGAAATAATGAAATTAGAACAGAGATTTTTAAACACAGCAAACGAGATACGTGGTCTGATAGTTTCGCCGTTGATATGTGTTATTTTGATGATAAATCATTACTTTTTGATCAATTGATTTTTTAATACCTAATTGATAAGTAGTTTCTCTAGTAATTTGAGAATATTTTTTTCTTCTTTTTTCTTAAACCAAGCACCATTTTAGATGTAAACTATACTGAATGATATTAATGCAACTTTAATACTACACATCAAAATAAATTTACGCTGAAAAACATTGAAATCCCATTGCCCGACGATAGCTTTTCTAATTCCTACCAATCGGAGCTTCCCTTTTGTTTTTCCTCTCTTTTTACTACGACCTTGTCTCAACGGGACGTTTCACGGGATTTTTCTCAAGTTCGAGGTGCAGGAATGAAACTTCTGGGCTTTTTTCCTGTTGAACAACACATCAACATTTCTTCTTCTTTTCAAGTCGTTCCTGGGACTCTATTAGGACTCTTAGTCGGTACTGTTTTTAGTATTGACGAACTCAGTATTTTTCCCAACTTCGCAAGTGAGATTTTTCCCTGGGATAAATCCCGAGAAACGTCCCGCGGAGACAAGGTAACAAAGAACTAAACTACTTTCAATTTTCTATGAATTAACTGTATACTATGAAGAATATCGACGGTGTGTGTCGGCAATCACATAAATTAGTTTGCGACGTCGCAGACTTCTTGTCATATTTTATTTTTTAAACGGAAAACTACTCAACGGCAGTTCTTTAAAACTACCGTGATTCTTCTTCTCTGTGCGGAGAAAATTCTACATAAACTTCAAAGAATGATGTCAATTTGTTCTCCTTTAATGAAATAACATAGAATCGGAGATTTTTAGACACCGCAAACGAGTTATGTGATTGCCGACATTACACCGTCGATATGATCTCAAAGTTGCAAGTCTCAGTGCTGCTCGGCGCTTTATTTTAAAAATAAAAAAGTAAAACATTCAGAGAAAATTAGTCAACGTCCGATGAAGTTAGGCTGATTTCGGCCACATCCGTCCATTTTTCCTGGAATGAAACTAAGCGACTCGCTCAACTGAACCACACGAGTTGGGACTTGCAGCGCGTCTTGGTATCAATATTTTCGAATTGAACCACTTTAAATCGGGTACGACTTTGAGTCGGGTTTCCATTAGTGTCTGCAAACAAAGCCGTCGGGGTTTTGTATCGTCCCGCGCCGCGGTAATGGAAGCCCTATTCAACTTCCCGAAAACGGGTCCCTCGGGTTTAATCGATTTTCCACGTAGTGTTCAGCCGCCGAGGTACACGCAGACCTCAAAATTTAGGATTTAGATGAGTAGATTTAGGAAACGGAATGAATCCCTTGCGTCGTTTCTCATTCTCTGGGGACTGAGCAGCGTAGCAACCAGGGACCGTGCAGTATGTTAATGATCACCCAGACTCTACAAATGGGTCAGTTGAGCTGATCACAAAATCGTGAGTTGATGTTTGATTCTTGTAGATTAGCTAAAATATTAAGATCTGTCCTAACAGTAGCTAGGTTTTAAGGAACAGATCTCATGAGGATTAGACCTCCTATTTGATTGTTCACGTATATCATCTTTAGATAAGAGTATTGAGTTTTTCCACGATATTTCTGCTACCTCCAGATGAAAAGCGTGGTATCTCTGTGAATATTAGTAGAACGTTGCTGTTTGGACTGATATTATTATTTATAGCTAATTAACAAGAATCAAGCATCAAAACACGATTTTGTCACCAGCGGAACTGACCCCCTTTTTCCCCCTTTTTTTCGCGGCTCATCGTATACCGCCTTGCCAAGGAAGAACGCCGTATGAGCCTTCAGTCGTTGCCAGATTTTCTTCGATAAAACACGGATTCCCTGTTAAACTTATCACTCTTTTTCTTCCAATTTTTCAGAGAATTTCTTTCGTAATTTTACCTAAAGTTCCTGAAAATTTCAAAGGAAAATACTCATAACTTTCCTCAAAAATAAAAATTTTATTAAACGAAATTTGACAACTCTCGAATGTTCATACGGCGCTCTTCCTTAGCATGGCAGTTTATAGGTCTACTAGGCCAATGTTTATAGTTTCTCCCGCCATCAACCGGTCTCCGCTGCCGTGCGAAGGAAGAACGCCGTATGAACCTTCAGGCGTTGCCAAATTTCCTCTGATAAAATACGAATTTCTTGGGGAAATTTTAAATATTTTTCTTCCAATTTTTCAAACTATTTTGTCCGCAATTTAATCTTAAATATCTGAAAATTTCAAGGAAAAATATGCTTAAATTTCGTCAAAAATACATTTTTTATCCGGAGAAATTTGGCAACTCTCGAATGTTCTTACGGCGTTCTTCCTTAGCACGGCAGAAATTAGCTCACTCTCTTTTAAATTTCCGAAATATGCTCCGGAGACGGTTCTTCGAGAGCGCATAGTGTCCTCGGGGGTTGGGCCGCGTAGCCACCTAGTATAATACACTGGTCTAAATTGACAATTTGTTTGATTGTTGCAGTTGTACGATCGGATCGCGAGTAAGGTGGTGGTGGTTTCGCCGAGCAAGCCGCCGTGCAGCGATGCCGTGTTCAAGTGTCGGGACGTCCTGGACACCCTCAAGGACCTCGAGCAGACCTCCACGCTGGACCCACAGCTGGCCGCCGACGTAGATCACCTCCGGCAGATCCTCTCCAGGCCACATTTTAAGGTAAGCCCCTTGAGCATTAACGTTGCACCGTGGAGTGAGTTGATGGGAACAATCGGACACAGGGTCCCTAGGAGCAATGGCTCTCAAAAAGAATTCTACTAAATACAAAAAGTTTTCAAAAAACTGTAAAAAACCTGTAAATTTTAAGTTTTTGTGAATTTTAAGTAAAAAAACTCTTAAATGCTCATTTTAGGAAACCCTGTTGGGGAATTCTTTTAAATAAAAAAATAGTGTTCTCTTAATTTTAAAAAAACGTAAAATTTACGTAAGAATCAACAAACTATATCCTGAATTTTTATGGGCTGCAACTTTTCCTTTTATACTTTTCTGTTCACCACTTTTTTCCCTCGTTTTTGCCTACAGCAAGTTGATAAAAAAAAAATACGTAAATTTTATTTACGTAAAAAAATTCTCTTAAAAGTTTTCTTCGATTTTATGTAAAAAAGCCCCAAAAAGAGTTTCCTCATACGAATATTTCAAGAGTTTTTTTACGTTATTTTCAAGTGGTATTGAAGTATATTTTAAGTTCTCTTAAAATTTACGAGCTTTTTACAGCCTTTCTCAACAGCCACTGTCACTAGGGGTGGCATGAAACGTAAGAAAGAAATGAGAGGTTGGAAGTTTCAGTGAAATATTTAATGAAAGGAGGGGTATCGTTAAGGGCCTTTTTTGGCCCCACCCTAAAATTCCTCAACTCCGCGATTTTTTGGTCATTGAAGGTCTATATTTTACGGAATGCACAATGGTTTTGTCATTTCCGGTCTATTTCGGGGTCTACCACTGGCCTAAACATGGGTCTGAAGGCCAATTTTGGCGAAAAATGCGGGTTTTTCAGCATTCGACGCGCTGTTTNGATACCCCTCCTTTACGAGGCTTTGAAATACATCATATTTTTCAGGGACTAGAGTATGCAACCCGCACTCAAACACACAAACATAGAAGAAAGTCACTATTTTTACTTTTTGCATAACATGAAAAGGATCCGGTATTTTTCTTTATCTTTTAAAAATTTCTGAAATTTCATGAAATGTTTCACGCGAAATTTCAAGATTGTATTTCTCATGAAATTTTGCCACCCTCGTCGGACATGATGAGGAAACTTTGAAAGCTTATGTATTGATCAGTATAAAACTTAGATGTTTTAAAGTGACATGTTTTCTTCCGTAAGATAAGTCACTAAACCTTGTAACTTTATTCAATATTTTGAAAGTACCAGGTGAGTAAATTCCGTGGTACTTCATTGCGTATTTTTGGAGCAAAAAATCCAGATGGACACTCGCTTTTAAAAAGTGCTAAGACTCGAAGGAATTTCAAACGCGCTTGAATGGAGGGAAAATGAAAGAAATGAACGACTGCAGCAGTCAAAAATCACTATCGATCTCCACTCATTTCCCTCCGATGTTCGGTAAAATGAAACGTATTTCAACGTGTAATTGTTGCCTTTTTACCACTAGATAACATGAATGAGATCGAATTCTAAGAATCTAAAGATAAAGGTAGTTTCTACTTCCCTATTGTTTTCATTTACGAGAAGGAGAAAGATATTTGACGGAAGTCGTAGACACTTGTGCTCGCTTCTAATTGGATAACGTCGTTCGGTTCGGCTTAAAACCGGAGCGGGAAAAGCTGCGCTTTTTGAACCGCGTATTTCTCGGTTTCTGAATTACTCTTTTGCGTTTCTAATGTGCGCACGTGTTCCACGCGTCATTTATCTTTGAGAATGTGTATTTGCAAGGCAAAATTTGTTCATTAGATACTGATTGATTATCATCTAGAACCACTCTTTCAAATTCATAATGCGACAAAATAAACGTAGAAATTTTCTGTTTCATAATTAGTCAAAGTATACCACCTCCAAAGGTTTGTTCCATTTTACGTCGGCCCTCCTCTATGTGTACAAGAATCGCTTATATAGTGTTCTCTATAGCGGTTTAGAGAAAAATAGATCATAGAATTGGGTTGTGGCAAGATTTTCAAATCGCCTTAAAAATACCCGTACATTTCAATGTTTCCGAGCTTTACAACGCTTAAAACTGCTTCATTGATTGAAAAACAGAGTCTTAAAATCAAAGTTACTAAAATAACGTTTCTGACGCTCAAAGCTCATGACGTTATATCAGGCGAGCACCTTACGGCAGTACGGCTAATGCGTAAAACAATTCATATCACGAAAAACCTATTTAATGCAAAAAACGAGAACAAAATATTCACTGCTCACAACGATGAAATTGTGGACACCGTCGACATGCATAACACCTCTTTAAAATTGCGACCTGAAAGTAACATGACAAACGCGAGTAAAATCGGCGAGACATACGGTGATCAATTGAGGGGCTTGGAGAACAAGGCGCTTTAGTGCAGTTTTTGCTATTTCGAGAAATTTGTGTTCGAACAGTCATATCATACGGACCCTCATGGCGGAAAGAAAGCTCAAATTGATTTTTCGATGCTTAAAATTGGAATTTAGGAGCAAATTTTTTACAGATTATGCCTCAAGACTAGTTTTATTTGAAATCATTATTATCTCAATTTTTTCAAAAACTGCCTTTATGTGCCTTTTCCTCCAAGCCCTCAATTCCTCTTTTGACGTCACGATATCTGTCGCCATGATATTTTTCGTTCGAGGCGGGGTGGCTTGTTTGCAACTCAAAGAGTATTTTCTCGACTAAAATTTGATCAAATGCAAAACGAAAAGCTGCAGGTTTGTCCAATTTTGATATATTTTTCGAAAATTGACTTCAAAATACAAGAAATTTTGCAACAGCCCCGTGGCAACGAACGTTCCACGCTTTCTCGCGGAAAGACGTGAATTTCACGTGGTCTAGAATTTCAAATTGGCCGGGTCGTAAATGCAGCGCTCTCTGTCGAGCGGAAGCAACACTCATCGATCGGAGCCTCGAGCAGTGGCGCCATCTACCAGATGTAGCCTCTTACTCGGCGGCTCCATCGTAGCCGCTTCACGTGCCCAAATCAACAGTTTCCACCCTGAATTTTCCGAAATTAAATTTCCTCTAAATCCGATTAATCTAATTTAAATGGTGCGGGTTCGGTCGAAGCAGCAAAATTCGTTTAATTTGTATTCAAAAAGAGCTAGCAAGCGGGCAATACTGTCGTGCTAAGGAAGAACGCCGTATGAACATTCGAGCGTTGCCAAAATTTCCCGAATGAATCTTGCATTTTTGAAGAAAGTTTTGCGTATTTTTCCTTACAATTTTCAGATACTCTAGATTAAATTGCGAGCAAAATTGTCTGAAAAATCGGAGGAAAAATATTCAGGATTTTCCCAGTAAAGTTTGCTATTGGAGGACATTTGGCAACACCTGAATGATCATACGACGTTCTTCCTAAGCACGGCAGAATACTTGATTCATTCTAGATAGAGGAGCATTAGGTCCACACATTTCTGCGGAAAAGCAGAGGTTCTTTCTGCACTGGAAAAAAAGGAAACATTGGATCTAGAGTCCAGACTCTTGAAAACAGTGACCAGAAAAAATACTCTTGATTCAATCAGATTTAAGCTCAAATCAAAAGGAAATCCGCTGAAATTAAGAAGTTTGGTTCTTGATTTAAGCAAAAATCCAATTGAATCAAGATTATTTTTTCTCGTCGATGCTTTTAGGAGTCTGGACTCTAGATCCAATGTGTTTTGTTTTCCAGTGTGCCTAACTCATGTGTTTAAAAATATTTATTATTATTCTTCGTTGTTCTTTATTGTTATATTATTTTATTTTTTTCGGCCATTGTGAGGAGGGTTTCGGCGCATTTCCAAAGTCGGCGGGGGAGCCGGCTATTTCGAAATTGGGGGGCGCAAGCGGCAAGCTCGGGCGATCGATCGGGAAGCCGCGGCTCCATGCAGCAAAAATGCGGTATGTCGGCGAGCGGGCTGTCGGCTGTCCCTCCGGGACGGAGTAAAAGGGTTTCCCCACGTCCTGGAAACTCCACAGATAGGAAATGCCACTGGAATCGTCGACCGCGAGCTAATGGATTGAAGGAGGCAGAAATAAATATCGAAATACTAGGAGCATCGCTCTTCTAGAAATCGGGAACAGCGGCATTAGCGGATCCGGCAAATTGGCAACATTGTTTGCTCTCCATTTAAACCTATGGAAATACATCGATTCCATGCGCTCCGACAAGAATCGATTATTAAGTATATGTTTAAATGGAGGGAACCCGGTGTTGTCAAATTGCTCGATCCGCTTCTGATCAGTGGGTCCAGAAATCGGAATCAGCGGCATTAGCGAACCCAGCAAATTGGCAACATTGTTTTTTCTCCATTTAAACCTATGGATGAGACACATCGATTCTTGGAGGTGCCATGGGCTCCGACGATAATTAGATTTATGTGTATATGAGGGAACCCGGTGTTGTCAAATTGCTGGATCCGCTTCTGATCAGTTGGTCTGTTGCACTTATTAGATGCAAATAGATGGATAACTTGGATTACTTTTTTCAATAAGGAACCACTATCTCTAGTTCTCTCCTAAAAGCACGTGTATGTGTAGGGAAACCAGTGGCATGTATGTTGTTTCTGAAATGGGCCAGAAATAGTGGTTCCTTTTTGTAAAATGTAATTCACTTGATTTTGGTAAAATCGAACGGAAGACACGTGAGCAAGTAAATAAGTCTGAAATCCACTCTTCAACACACAATTTGTGCAGCAGAATGACTTCTACCGTGCTTTGAAGAACGTTGTAGGAGCCTTACCTTCTTCAACAAAAATAGAATTTACTATGAAAATTGTGAATATTTCTTTTTAATTATTTTTAGACAATATAGTCCGCAATTATACCCAAAACGTCTGAAAATTTTAAGGAAAATTGCACATAATTTTCCTCCAAAATATATGTTTTATCTGGGGCAATTTGGCAACTCCCGAATGTTCATACGGCGTTCTTCCTTAGCATAACAGACTTGCCTCGGATTCCTACCAAAAATCGGCAAAATTTTAAACATGAATGGGCCTGTTGCAAACTTTTGCTAGAGCAAAAATAAGAGTT